GAACCTTATATTCCTCAGATTTAATCCAGTGTCGACCGTGGTTACATCTCAGAGAACCTTGTATACGTTTAACAAGATTCTCTTAAAACTACTTGTCTGTTATATTTTATTTTGAGTATTGTTCAAAACCTATGTTGTTGTGAATAAAAGAATATATATATTTTTGCAAGAAGTGTTTTATTTTAACGGACAACAATACATTGACCCAGAAGTGATCTCCAGAATGGTGCACTTTATTCTGGATCATCAGGATACATACACTCTTTTTTAGGGGTAAGCACTATAGAATTCTGCAGTGCTTACCCTTCAAGTTCATCATTATTTACTAATTAAATTTGTCAACAGCAGGTTTCCATACAAAAATCTCCATGCAAAAATGACAAAATGTTTAGATTTCCCAAATTAACAGCAGCTAGGGATAGTATTGAAAGTATTATTTGAATTTTTTTAAACTGGGAATTTTGCCCTAAATATAATTTGATCCCAAATTCTTGGTGCAATGATATTCCAAATGAAATGTGCATATGCTTCAGCTTGATTTACACAATTTCTGTGCCAAATTCATTGACCCTCAACACACAATACTGTTCAACACAATTTCGCATTTGCTTTTCATTCTCTTGAAATAATTTGATATCATTTTTCAAGATGTTGTTTGCTGAATGCAACCGACCAGGACCCCTGGAATGCAAAAACCTGACTGACCCATTGGTACAAACCATGACTAAATACAGGTACAAGAATCAGTCAAATTGGCTATGACATTGTCTTTCTTAAAAATGAAATGGAATTTTAAGAAGAAACATGTTTCAAGTTTTTTGAGATCAAAATGGTACGTGTGGGAAAATCGCTGTTGGGCGAAAAATCACTTGTTCAAATTTATGGATTTCTCCCTTACATTTTGATTTTTGGGAAGAGGCATGAAGGAGTCTGATCGATGCTGGGAAAATTATCTTCTCATAAAATTATATTCTCATGAAGCTCACTTTTCGCTCTCAGAGTAGATCACATTTTTCAATTTCCTGCTGATGAACTGGCGATAAACTTCTGCGTCTCTTATCTTTTCAGAAACATTAAAAAAAAGAACTCAATCGTTCGTGGAAACTTTTTTTCTCGGTTCCCTCTTTTTGAACAAGAAGAAATGACAGTTTAAAAAACTTACTTTTCGGATTGACAATTACCAAAATCTGCGGAGAAAATGAAAAGAAAGTGGAATGATGAGACAAACGCGAGACCAGGTGTTGATGTTTCAGTCGCATTTTGCAGCTCTTTTCCTTCTCTGCTCTCAAAAGGAATAGTTCTGGTCTTTAAAAAATTATATTTGAGAAATTTGACAGGAAATTATAAAGCAGTGAAGTATAGTAGGTTCATTGTGTGAAGGCTTTGACTTATTCGATGAGGTTCAAGTTGGAGAGGTCCAAATGTGATTCAGTTACAAAAATATGGGCTTTCCTTAATTTTTTTACTGAAGTACTGTACGTGCTCGGATTTCAAAATCAACACCACATAGCTCGCACAATTGCCATTCTTGACAAATTCAAATGCTGCCAATAACAGGTTCTAATTTTCAACCTCATAATGCGATTCTGTTTCATTTTTCCTTCTGAAGGATTCGCGATGTCTTCAAATTTCCTTAGGAAGAATACAAAAAAGGGTTAGTCAAATTCCTCGTGGTAATATGCTCTGTTTCCGCGATTTTCATGGTGAAAAGTATAAAAATCTTCAACAAAACCGACATTTTGGCTCTTGAAATCCAAGAAAATCTGCTCCAAGAAAATAGGGATGGAAAAATGGGCGCTTTCAAAAAAGCGGCCAATTTCACAGATCCTTCTGAAGGTGGACAGCCAAAAAAAATCATTGAGCTTTTTGGTTACAAGGTATGAAACATTAATCTATAACAAGTATGTCTGCTCTTCCAAAATGCAATGGTTTAATGTCTTTTTGCAGTTAGTTGTACATTAGTTCAAATACAGGTGGTACCTTGCTAATCAACTGCAATCCAATTGACAAAGTATAGTAAAATTGCAAAGTGGTCAAATTGTAAGACACTGTGAAATTCAAAACTATCAGCAAACAAAGTGAGCAAAGCAGTTGAACTTGCAGGGCAAGGGTTGAATTGTGAGTCATCCTCCCTGCAAATCTGACCGTCAAATTGCAGTATATTCGAATTTGCAGGAAGTCAAATTGCAAGGTTCTGCCTGTATTCAAATGTTAGCTTGTACATACAACTTTCCCAATGGATATTATTTATGGGCGGAATTGGGTTAGGTTTTCACTGATGCATTTATATTGTTGATTCAGTCACCATACATTTACATTTGAATGTTACAGAAGACAAAAAAAAATGTAGAAGGCTCAAGTATTCATCTGAAAATCTTTTAAACTTTTTGAATGGAATGCATCGAATTTCAATGAAGCAAGGTTTATTTTTTCCTTGAAGGCAATTTCAATTTGAGAGAATCCACAGAATAGCATGATATTCTCAATGCAGTGCTGCGATGAAGAAGAATTTCAATTCATAAGATTCTTTATATCAGTTATTTCGAGGCAAAATTCTAAAAAAAAACTGTTGAGAGCATGCAAAGGCATTGCAAGTCAACCTGAATTAAAGTTTTATTAATATAATCCAGTAAACTTCCAAGTTTAAACAATAATAACTTCTGCCAATTTGATTTTAGGAGTTCAAAAAAAGAAAGAAAAATAAATTCAAGATAACAGCTGGACAGAATGATATTGATTGCCTGAATCAACCTTTCAATATTTGCAGAGAAATGGAACATTCCTGGAAGCTGGAGGACATGATGGCATTTTCTTCTCCAATAGCCTTTTACTAGAAGTGGAATATGGATGGACTGGGGTTTTGGTGGAGCCTCAGCCAGGCCTGTTTGATAGCCTTTTGAAGAAGCACAGGAGAGTTGCTGGCATCCAAACTTGCATCAGCACCAAGCCAACCAAGATGAAAGTAAATTTCTGAATCACTATCTACGTTTATTTTTAGAAGTTGAAAAGGAAAATCTTGTTCAGAAAAACTTTAAGAAAATTGAGAAACTTATTATACTGTACATGCAGTATAATAATGGAAGATGCAATTTCCAGGAAGGCATAGTAAATTGAAAGTGTTGGCACCTCATCTTGTTTGAAAAGAAAAAATCTGTAATGAGCAGTAATTCTTGTCCCACGATAATGAATTGTTCTCTCTTTATTCTGCAGTTTTGTTGCATACGTCTTGCAGTTTTTCTGTTTCATTTTCAGTGTTTTTCATGATATACGCATTCACAGCTTTCCCGCTTTTAATTCGTTTCAACCGCTGATGCAATTTAAAATGAAATGCGAGCAGTTTCTGTGTACATAGTTGCCATACTATCATTGAGGAAGACCTTTTTGAAGAAATGACGAACAGATGATGCAGCATTGTTTTAGTCCGACAAATTTTCAATACTTCTTTTTTCATGAACCAACTTCTTTAAAAGCCCTGAAAATGTCGATTTTGTGCAAAATTGTTCAATTCACTCAGTTGAAACTAACATTTTTGTAACTAAGTCCTTTACAAATACTTGATTGATGGTTCAGTATTTGTGGTTGCATAATTGATTCCTTCTATATTGATGCAAATAATTCCTTCTGTGCTTTTTGATGCAATTAATTCTTAGGTGCAACTGGTGATGAGTGACAGTGATTCAAGTGCTGAAAGAGGAAGTTCAGCTTTGAAAGGAGGTTCTATCAAAGTTGATGGTTACAGTTCCACCGAACTGAGCATCAACTGTTATCCTCTCATCAGCATTTTGAAGGCCACAGGTTTGACAACATTGGATGTCCTGTTTCTGGATGTCCAAGGCATTGAAGTAGATATACTTAAAACCGTGCCTTGGCAAGAAGTCAACATCAAGGTGTGTGAAATGAATGATTGGGGATTTCATGCATGATTCTTCAAATGAGGATTTACTTTTCTGTTTTTCCCTCAGATGATTGTTCTTGAGATTTATGGTCCGCCAGATGTCATTGCAAGAGAGAAGGACGCTGCTATGGAAGTGCTTGGACCACTTGGATATAAATTTGTGACTCAAGTTGCAATTGATTATATGTTTTTAAAATAAGTGTTGAACAACATGGAATTTTGCAGTAAAAAAGAAACAGACAGCTTTCAAAGCACTAACTTCTGCATTGAAGCCGAAAATTACTGCTTGAATTAACAAATAATACATGCAAAATTTACTCCCTCATCAAGGCGTAATGTCAATATTCCTTTGAGCATATATTTCATTCCCAAGATCTGAATATTCTCATGTAGACTATGGGCCCCAGGAAGCAGGCATATTTTGTTCTTTGATCTAGTCTCTATTTTGGAATGTCCACATGGGGATTCCATTTCCCCAAAAACTTCAGCTAGTGGGAAAATAATGAATTATTTATCTTGTTTGTCAAATTTTTCAAAACAGGCCTCCAAAAATTGAATAATTTTTCTCAACTTCAAGATATGTACAAACAATTTTGGGCAGAGTAATGTCATACCAAATATATTTGCATGCAGAATTCACAGAAGACATGAGGCGGGCAACCAGTAGGCTTGTATTGAGAGTTGTGATGGGAGAAACATTTCTCTTTTTTGCACCTACTATTCTTCTGGCTGCAACTCCACCATGTTTGAAATTTGTGCACCCTCTTGAAAGCAGCATGAAGTTGGCATGCTTATTGAATTACTGGTATTGCAACCTGGCTCATCCCAAGCAACAACTCTGGAGAACATCAGCCAATTGTAACAAGGGGTTTCCAGTAGCTGACAATTTTGTGTGTGGCAAGTTTTTGTTTGAATGCTGGTCCTCAATTGTGACAATGCCATGGTATTTGGGACCATAAAAATTTATACCAGGTGAACGTGAATTGGATCAGGTTTAATTTAAAGTGATTTTTCATTGCCACGGCCCAATTGGCTACTCCCCTTTTTTAATAAAAGTATTTGTGTATTTTGCTCTTCTGCTTCAGCTCCATGTTGAAGCAAATATATGATAGGAATTTTGAAGTACTTCAACCAACTTTGAAAATATTTTATTCCTTCCTGGGACTGCTATTCAACCTTCCTTCCATCTTTCACAGCAAACCCACACAAAAATCTCTTTTGGAAGTTGATTTGCCCTTTTTGAACAAACAGTTTCACGGAGAATATTCCATGGAATTTTTGATGAACACAACATCATTTTCAATTTGAGAGATGTTCCTGTATCCATATTTTGACATGATTTGAACTAGTGGTTCTGTCAGGTGCTCGCATTCCAATGGACCTGGTGGATTGCACTCTGCAAACACCATCTGGAAGAAAAACATACAGCAACATTGTTTTTCTGCTGTGCATCTCCTTTTTTTCTGGGTTCTTAATCTGCTTACAAAAAAGTCAAATACTGTACACCAAATCTTGCATTGCAGAATTCTAAAAAAAGGAAAAACTGACTCATAAAAATTTTGCGATCAAATATTGATGAAATTTTTATTGAAGAAACATTTCCATTTGTTTAGAAAACCTCTCTAAAAAAATTACATTTTGCCTGAAGGAAATATACAAGGTTTTCCCCTGCAACTGTTTTTGGTTTGTTTTGAATTCCCTCTTCTCACATCCCCGAATGTTAACAGCATAATGCACTTTCTTGTTAAAAATAATATAGTAACTTCCCTTCACAGCCAACATTGATGGGTGCTTTTGCGCAGCCACACCTCTGAAATACAGATTTCAGAGGAAATATCTTGAGATGTGTATTGTGTATATATGATGTGTAATCATGATGTCTATATAATATCTTTCCATGAGGTCCAAACACTCTTGAATAAGAGAAGGTATATGAAAAATACCTCCCATATCTTAGACACCTGAAAAGGTAACATATATGACCAAGGAACAGTATAATCCTCAGATTTGATCCTGTGTCAAACAGGGTGACTTCTCAGACATTTTAAAAGACTCTCTTAAAATACCCTATTTTACTTCTTGTTTGAACACTGTTTGACTGCAAGAAAACATACAGTAATTTTATCATACTGTTTTTTGATGATTTATTTTACTTCATTAGTCCTGGCAACAAACTTGTATCACATTTAAATTTAAAATTATGAAGAATAGAAGAAAATTCTCAAATGTTCAGCTTTAAGATCCATAGAAACTGTTACTCTGTCTCAAACTTCACAGAAATACATTTGCAAACAAATTTCTATGCAAAAGCTTGGTAGAATACAGATTTACTTAAAAGTAATATGATTATTTTGGATATGCTCATGTTTAAATTGTTGGATTTGTTCAGCATTTCTGTAATTATCACTCAAAATAAATTGTAGATTTTGCTCATCAAAAACTTGGCATAATTAGGCACATACTTGAAAAAAACACCTCATGCTGCTGTGTTGGAAGCCGTGGAGCCCACTATCTGTTGGAACCTATTATGGAAATAATGTGAAATATGTGGACAATTTGCTCACGCCAATGTCTGTCAAGTGCCAGGGGAAGGTGTCCAAGACGCTTCTCTCAATTCCATCACAATCCAGGAAAAGAACATCCAGTTTCAGCAACCCAGCTGCTTCCAAGAAATTGAACAGAGGGTAGCACTGTACTTCAAAAGTGGTCCCATGGAGACTGAGGAAGTTGTCCATGTTCTTCCTCTCAATGGACAACTGCAAAGATACATATTGTATTTCCTCCTGCTTCATGCAGAAATGTAAGCAAGTACAGTATATAATATCCATCTTGAATTCAGATGCTTCAATGAAAACTATGGTTTGAGTCTGCTTTGAAATGGAAAATGGACTGCTAAAAAAATTATGCCAGAGTAAAATTAGGATATTTTTAATTTTTTCAGACTCACGCACAATTTCCTCAACAAGCCTGAAAAGACACTAAATTTAAACCAATCATCAGAATCGAATTGTCAATTGGAACTTGTAAGGATGAAAATGAAGTCATCCTGATATACTTCAGTCCTCCCACATTCTCCTTTTATAAAATAAACAATTTATGGCAAAAAGGTTTAAAATATGTATTTCTTCACTAAGAGTATTTTAGACTCTTTTTTCTGTTGATTGAAGAATCATTCCAATGTTATTTACTCAAAGGCTACAAACATTCAAATTTTTTACGAAACGTTTCTCCAAGTAAAAATATTTTTCTAGTTTATTTTCCGAGTACAGAATTTTAAACAGTAAAATGCTGATTGATTATTCTTTTGTTTTTCAAAGACATTTTGAACGTTAGGAAAACGCAAAAAAGGGAACCCGATTAAAACTCGTACGATAAGACCCTACTTTTGTAATTTGGAGATCTCTTGAACAAATATGAAACAAAAAACAGCTTGAATAGGAGAGGAATCTTTTGAATTCAAAGGGAAAACATATTCACTTTGCCTGTTACGACTTTCTTGCTCTCAATCATCGGAGCTAACAAAATTCATGCATTTGCTGATGGCAATTTTTTTGTTCTGATGTCCTCTGTCTTCCGTTCAATAAGAAGTAGTAAAAGTCGCAAAATGACTTCCATGATATTTTCTACGAACTTTCAGTCAAATGCAATTCCAAAAAGTTAAATGAGCCAGCAGAAAATTAAAAAAAAACCCTGCAAAGAAGAGCTTTTTGCGACAGATCTGCATAACATGGCAATTCGAAAAAAAGACAGTTGCATTATTATCATTCATTTTACGTACAGAATTTTTCTTCCCCGATGGACTGACGCAGGCGTGCACAATTTTGGCTCTCCTGTTCATCTGGGCGAGTTGCTTGAAGTAATTTGGATCTGCTTCCACCAGCAAACCCGTCCAACCCAGGGCCACTTCCAGGTACAACGAGTTGGAACCCGTCTCCCCATCTTTTGCCCCTGCTTCCACAAACGTCCCTCTTGTCTTTTTTTTTTTTTTTGGGCGTGCAAAGAAAAATATTGACGAAAAAAAAACACGTTAAAGACGATTGCCTTCAAAGATGCAAAAACCCCTCCGAACTCTGCAAAAAAAAAAGGCAAAGTTCTGCCGGGGGGATTTTTTTGTGTGTCACTTCTCACCTTGTTCTTGAAAACGGCTGTCACAATTTGAGATTGGCCCTTTGCAGAAACGTCAAAATTGCACGTTTTCATGTTGAAAGGTCCAGAGGTCTGCTCAGAGTCGAGTTGTATTTGCTTTTCGACGTCGTCGGTTGTTGCATCCGAAGTACGCTTGTCAACTTGGCCAATCATGATGTCACTTCTGTTTCGCGAAAGCAGCAGAAAAAGAGCTGCAAAAATTCCGACGGATGTGATCGCACATTTCAGCGTAGCTGGTCTCAACATATTGCAGTTACGTTTTCTTCGCAGATTCACGTGATTTCTAAGAAAGGTCTTTCACCTGGTTCGTCTGTTTTTATTTACTTTTGAAAGAAACGACCGAGGAGAAGAAAATTCCACGGACCACGAGTGAGTCTTGGTAAAAGTGCTTCTGAAATAAAATGGAATGCAAAATTATTTCATCACATCAAACACCTTGAATTCCACAAATTCGATCTTTTCTTAGAGGGAAAAATATGTTTCACGGCATTCCCCCCCCCCCCCCCATTCTCATTTTATTCTCACATCAGATTTCTTTTTTTTTTTACCTCTAGATGCATCAATATAACAAACAAAAATTAACCAAATTTTCGAAGACTGTTTTCGAACATTTTAAAAACAGAACTAATTCTGTGTCCGTTAAAGTCTTGCGGAAAATGTGATCCCAGTACACGTGGACATACCAACACAGGGACAAGGTCGAAAAAACCCAAATTGTCTGCTTTTTAATTTGGTGCCTATTATATACATACTGTACGTGAAAAAATCTAATCTTGGGAATCAAATATATTCCGCAAAAGAATCTTGTCATTGTATAAGCTGATGAGGTGATAATTTGAACACGTATTATTCAATGAAGAGCATTTTTTTCTACAAACTCTTCCAGTTTGATGCCCGCATAAATCCCATGTTTTAATTGGTAGTTATTTTGAAAACATGGAATCAATTGCCACTTGAGTCAAAAATGTATATCCAAGTAGTCCAAGCACTTCCATATAGCAGCGTCCTTCTCTCTTGCAATGACATCTGGTGGACCATAAATCTCAAGAACAATCATCTGAGTGAAACACACACAAGAAAATCCGCATTTGAAGAATCATGCACTAAATCCCCAATTATTCATTGTACACACCTTGATGTCGACTTCTTGCCAAGGCACAGTTTTAAGTATATCTATACTTCAATGCCTTGGACATCCAGGAACAAGACATCCACTGTTCTCAAACCTGTGGCCTTCAAAATGCTGATGAGAGGATAACAGCTGATGTTCAATTCGGTGGAACTGTATAAGCATTAACTTTAATAGAACCTCCTTTCAAAGCTGAACTTCCTCTTTCAGCACTTGAATCACTGTCACTCATCACCAGTTGAACCTGAGAATTAATTGCATCAAAAGCATAGGTAGAAGTTTGCACCAAGACAAACTGTTTACTCTATTCCTTGAATTGCTCTTTTCCTCAAATGTGAACTGTGTACAGTTCTTTAGATATTATAACGCAACATTGAAATTTTCAGGGCTTTAAATATATTCCCTTAATGCTTAAAGAAACATTGAAAGCACGTTGCAGCAAAAAAAAAAACAACCTGCAGGACTTTGTCATTTCTTCAAAAAAAACTCCACCAAGAATTTTTCAATCACACAGACACTGTTTTGCGTTTCTCCAAATTTTAGAAAGAACCCCATTGCAAAGATAACCTAACCCAAATTCAGCCCATAAATAATACACATTGGGAAAGTTGTATGCACACGCTCAAATTTCAATACAGGTGGAAAATTGCAATTTGACTTCCTGCAATTAGAATATACAGTACCGCAATTTGATGGTCATATTTGCAGGGAGGATGACTCACACTTCTACCTTTGCTGCCCTGAAATTTGTCCTGCTTTGCCCAGTTTTTTCCATGTGTTTGCTGATATTTTTGAATTTCGAAGTGTCTTGCAATTTGACCGTAGTTTGGAAATTGGACTACAGTTGATTCCAAAGGTACCACCTGTTGTTAAACTACAGCTATATGCAAAAAGACATTCAACAATTTTAATCTTGGAGGAGCTGATATAGTTGTTATAGATTAATGTTTCATACCATTCAGCTAAAAAGCTCAATGTTTTTTTTGTTTTTTTTGGCTGTCCACCTTCAGAAGGATCTGTGAAATTGACCGCTTTCTTGAAAGTGCCCATTTTTTCATCCTGATTTTCTTGGAGCAGATTTTCCTAGGTTTCAAGAGCCAAAATGTCAGTTTTGTTGAAGATTTTAACCTTTTTAACAAATAAAATCGCAAAAACAAGGAATATTACCACCGGGAATTTGATCAACCCTTTTTTCGTATTCTTTTCAAGGAAATTTGAAGACATCACATATCCTTCATAATGAAATATGACAAAAATCGCATGAGTAGGTTGAAAATTATAGAACTTTTTTGGCAGCATTTGAATTTCTCAAGAATGGCAACTCTGCTAACTCTGTGGTTTTGACTTTAAAATCTGAGCATAAACAGTATTTCAGCGCATAAAAAATAAAAGCCCATATGTTTTTCTAACCGAATCACATTTGGACCTCTCTAAATCAAACAAAAGCAAATGCTTCAAAATACAACGCACCACTTTGCTCCCTTATAATTTCCTGTCAAATTTATCAAATACAATTTGTTTTTAACCAGAACTATACCTTTCGAGAGCAGTGAAGGAAAATAGCTGCAAAAATGTGACAGAAACATCAACACCCGGTTTCGCGTTTGTCTCAAAATTCCACTTCCTTTTTTCCAGTCGTTTTACTTAATTTTCAATCCGAAAAGTGAGATTTTTCACTGTGATTTCTTCTGTAAAAAAAAGGAACCGAGAAAAGAAGATTCCACGAGTGAGTGAGTTTTTTCTTTGGTTTCTGAAAATAAAAGAGACAAAATTTTTTATCGCCAGTTCATATCTGCAAGAGATTAAAAAATGTTATTTTCCCTGTGATTGAATAATACATCTCATGAGAATATAATTCTCCAAGCATCGATCACGTTCGTTCATGCGTCTTCCCAAAAATCAAAATATAAGTGAGACATTTAAAATTTTTTTTTCAGAATCCATCAGGGCAATTATCTCAAAATTGTTAAATTTTAAGGATTGCATGCAAACAAGTAATTTTTCGCCCAAAAGCAATATTCCCACATTATGTCAAGCACGGCAAACATGAAAAGTAATTTTATTCTTAAAATTCTATTCCATTTTTCAGAAAGACGACGTCGTTGCCAATTTGACTGATATTCTTGTACCCGTATTTGGCCATGGTTTGTACCAATGGGTCAGTCAAGTGTTCGCATTCCAGAGGTCCTGGTGGGTTGCATTCAGTGAACAACATCTGGAAACATGATGTAAAATTAATATTAGACACAAAAAAAACTTCAACAGTATGGGTTGTTGATGGGTGAATGAATTGGGCACAGAACTTGTGTATATCAAGCTGAAGCATATGCACATTTCACTTGGAATATCATTGCACCAAGATCAAGTGTTCAAATTATATTAAGGGCAACATTCCCAGTTTTAAAAAAATGCAATTCAAAAATACTTTGAATACTATCCTTATCTGCCGTTTATTTGGGCAATCCAAACATCTTCTGATTAAAAAAAAATCATTGCATTTTCCTTTCAAGTATCTTTGATGTTTTTTATCCACTATCAATTTATATTGGGCACAATGCCTCAATATAATTTGATGTCAAGGCATATGGAGAATAAAAACACATTATTCAGTCAGGGGCAGGATAAGAATTCCATTTTGGAATCCCTAGTTTAAAGAGGGGTAAATGTATTTCAGAATAAAGTTGGAATAAGCAACAATAACTCACTTCAACTCAGCTTGAATAAATTGGAATAATTCAGTAACTAAATCAAATCAAATCTGACAGTAAATATGAGGAAAGATGAGCTTATATACCATTAATTACTCTCAACCTTCACAAGGTTTTACTTTACTCAATCATAGCAAGAAAGCTAGTGTCAAGGATGCTAGGGTGCCAGGATGTTCCTGGTACCACAATTTTGCAGAGGGGGGAATGTTACAGTTTCTCAGAACTGGTTGCACTATTTTCCCTGGGGTGCATGCCCAACAACCATATTTATAAAATTTTCATATGGTTGAATATATCCAACCTCTTCATCCTAGTTTAGGTCTCACCCTGACCTCCATCATAAATATGCCACTGTTCATCACTTTTTAGATCATACTTGCTCTCATATCTGACTGAGAGAACCATCCCTGAAAATGTACTCACAGAAATGTCTGCTAGATGCCAGGGAAATCCATCCAAAATGCTCTTTTCCACACCATCAACATCCAAAAAAAGAACGTCCAATTTCAGTAAACCTGCAGCTTCCAGAATGTTGAACAATGGGTAACAAGTGGCTTGGAAATTGGTGTCACGCAAGCTCAAAAACTGACCCATGTTCTTCCTCTCAATGTCCAGCTGGGTTTTAAAAAAGAACTTTCTGAAATAGGTTGGAAATCTGAGAAGAAAAATGCCCAGGTTATTTACAGTGTTCTTTTTGTTGGAAGGACTGATGCAGGCATTCAAGACTCTGGTTCTTCTCCTCAATCTGGTGAGGTTTTGGAAGTACTCTGGATTGGGCTCCACAAGTAGACCAGTCCAGCCCAAGGCCATTTCCAAGTACACAGTATTAGACTCACTCAGTCCATTGTGAGCACCTGCTTCAACATATGTTCCACCAGTCTGCAAATAAAGAAATGAAAAAAAATGCTGAGAAAATTCCAGAAAAATGTATGCAATTTTTTAAAACAATGAAATACAATTTTCATTTGCAGACGTGCATAAGTTTCCGCATTAGAGTTACACAAAATTATTTGAACTTCATTCAAATTCTTTGTTCCCCTCGGTATTTCCTTTTTTTTTAAACCGTTTATTCAATTAATATCGCCTTATATGTAGATGGAAAGATCCCCCATTTTTATTGAACAATAAACCCAAGCTTCTTGGCCGCAGATAATTCCTGTCCGGAAAACAATTCGAAGAACCATCAGTGGCTAACATTTAAATTATTTTTAAGGCGGCAAAGTCTCAAAAATGCATCAAGTGACGACCGAAATCGATTAATTTTCTGAAAACATTGATTCATTCTTAACGACGTTTAATCCATCTGGCCGGAGCAGATTTTCATCCTTCCAAAGGGAGTATTAAAAAAAATCCCTGCGAGACTGACCTTGTTTTTAAAAACCTTCGCCACGAGTTTGGATTGACCCGCTGCAGAAAGGTCAAATTGGTGACCTTCCAGCTGCAATGGTCCAATGTTAAGGAATTGTTCATCAATCAGTAATTGCAATTCCTTTGAAATTGGGTCCGAAACCTGTTCCACGGATTTTCGAGATTCCGGAGCATGCTGGTAAGTCATGTAAACTATGCACATTAATAGAAGTGCAAAAAGTGGATTGAATCTGCGACACTTTGACAGAATCCAACCGATTAAAAACATCTTTTAAAAATACCTCTGGAAAAAATGTAGTGTCTGAAAACGAATGACATTTTTCAAAAAAATGTGAAACAAAGAGAAAAAATTACATTCAAAAAATGTTAAATTGAAGGAAAATTCGAGGAGAAATGAATAAGGTTTACTTCTCATCAATAGCATAAAAATGCATCATATCCAGGGCCGGATTAAACCACATTTTGGCCTGATGCTGCACAAAAAATGGGCCTAATTCTCCTTTGCAATAAAAAAGCATAATTTTTTGAACACCAGCAAGAAATCATGAAAACTTTTGCCTCTTTCCTGTTTTTGCCAGAGTTTCATAATTGAAAAAAATTTGGATTTCCCAAATTGAGAAATTTTTCCAAATTCTCCAGGGGCCTATATTTCTGTGGGCCTAATGCTGCAGCATCAATAGCACCCACCTTAATCCGGCCCTGATCATATCTATTGTATGAGTTTTTCAGGATTCAAAGAATTCAAAAACGCAATGAATTAGTCTCTCAGTTCCGCGCGATTATTTTTTCCATCACCGGTTTTTAAATTTTTGTGGTTTGATTTCTTCTGCGATAGTAAATTTTCCTGACAGATTTGACAGGTGAAGTATTTTTCTGCTCGTCAAATTGTGTGTTTTATTCTTAGTCACTTGCATGCCTTAATTTTTAGTGGAAATCCAAATTCGAAATCAAGTTCAGCATTTTCACACACAATTCCAGAAATTTCGAAGGATAGCACCGAAATATTGCTTTAACTTTTTATAAAACATCACGGTTTCACAAGCGCTTTCCCGAGAATTTCACCACGGGATGAATAATTATTATTTTTTCGTTGAAAATATCAAGGAATCCGTTATAGACTGAAAATTTCCGCAACTACTTTTTCCCTTATATGTCTCGCACCCTGTTGTCAACTGTCAACGTCTTCAGTTGGTGCTTTACTGAAATTTAAAGGCAGTAGGTAAGGAACACGTAGCACAAGACTGACGTCAGTTCCATGACGCTCCAATTGCGTTTTCTGCTCCACGAATTGTAAAGCCAGTACACAGTTGAACAGCAGCCATGTAAGTTTTTTTTTCTTCTTTTTTTTCAATAATGGGGAAATTCAAGGAGAAATAATTGCCAGGAGCAACACTTGACTGACTGGTAAAGAAAAATGAACGATGAAGACATCGGGGGTGCAACTGAATATGTTTGTGACTTGTTTTCCCCCCACAGTGAATTTGATAGAGCACATAAAATGTTGCATTTTTTCCTTTCTCATATTTGTTGGGGACCCGCCGCCACCAGTGTAATATGCGCGTCATCAATCAAGGCAGGAAGTAATGGGTTGGAAAAACTCACAACCATGAAAACCAGTAAAATCCATAGCACCATGGAAAAATTTGAGAACTTTCCACCAAGGCTTTCTGAGCCCAGCGTTATCTTGAGCTCTGGTTATTCTGGCCAGTCCCAGGCCTCTAAAAATTGCCTCATCCAGAGTAGAGTATACAGTACTTCACCAGGGCCAGTTGCAATTATGAAAAAAAAACACATTTTTAAATTCTTCATCATCATCAGTCTGAGCCTAGCTGTTGTTTGGCCAACAGTCTGTTACAAATTGAGCTTGCTGAGAGCTTTTTGCTGTTCATTGATAACTTTTGTGATGCTAAAATCTTTGCATTTGTTGGGACAATCATCTGAAATACAGTTTAAAGTTAATTCAGGGATTCTACAGAGAATTCCTGGCCCTGGGATGATTCTGTGTTTCAATTTCTATTTTTCTTGATCCACAGGCAGGGATTTTCATCATTATGTTGTGGTGACTGTTGTCCCCAAAATAATATATTGGAAATTAGAAATAGAAATTGAGAAGAAGCTAGATATTTTAGCTTGTGGGAGAAATCTAATCCTTTAGGAATCTCATGGGACCTAGTTTGACCTTGAGTTCCCATGGTTTTATTTCATTATCCTCATGATTTCCTTGTATCCTTCAGTCAACCAGGACAAAATGACCCTGTGAGACACTTCTGGTTGCAAAAACTTCCTATTATGGTATCACCGTATCAGTCATAATTTGGCCGTCTCTATCACCCGAAGTAAGAGGTTGTACAGAAATCATCTACATATGATTGCATTGTAAAATCTTGTGCTTATATTGTCAAATAAATCAACCTCACACTAGGATGGAAAGCAACCCAGCTGCAGCACAGCTGATCATAGTTTTCTTGATTTTATGAAAATTGTTTCAAATATCATTTTTTCTCTACATAAAAAATTGTTGCAGAGCATGGTCCCATGTCTCTAAAAATAAGGAAGCGCTAACATTTTCTGAATTTTCTTTCTTGTTCACAAGCTGTTAATATGTTGGTTTCAATATCAGCCACGGTTTCCAAGAAGTCCATACTGGCGAAAATCACAGAAAGGGAGGGTTAGACATTCATAGATTATGATTTACAGTTTTTACATTTTTGTCATGTAATTGAAAACACTTTTTGTCTCTAAATTTTTTTGTTCCCATAAAGAGATTCCAAAAAATTTTTGTAAAATAAAATGTCCAGCAGCAAAACTTTGAATTCTGAGAATTTGACCAAATAAGAGGAATTTTTCCAGCACATACTGAATTAATACTTTCGAATATGTTGGATCCAAGAACTCGACAAGAAAAAGGATGAAAAATGTTGCTGTGATTGAATGTGAAGTGAAAAAACTCAACTTCCATGATACATATAGGAAATTGTCTTTTTTCATTTTAATCTACGTTCAATCAACTTGGAAAGCCTTTCATTTAGCAATGAAAAAATTCTGTACTTGAAAAAATAATGCAAGTTTCTCATGTTCTTTCTTTCTGAAAAATCGATTTAATGAAAAAATATATCTCTTAGCAATCATTTTTCGTAGGCTTCTTAATATTCTGCTGGACTATTGAGGTACAAATTGAAAGGAAATTGAGCTTTTTTCTATTTGCAAAATTTGAATATACCTCTGGTGAATTCATTGTGGTTCATAATTAAAACAGCAGGCTCATTTTTGAGCTTCTTCTTTTACAGTTTTTTTTTCATTAACATGCGTGCAGGAAATCTAGAGTTGTGTTTGCTTCTGCCTTTTGTGCTAACTGGTTTTCATGCCAAAAAGGGTGGATTTTGTTTGGTTTCCTCCTGTACAGTTAATTAAGGTATCTTGAAATAAAAAAAATCATTCAGGTTTGAGAGGAATTTTTTCAAAATTTTCAAGAACAGAAGCATAACAATTAACATATTTGAAAATATATTCTTCTAGTAATAATCTTTGGTTGCAGTGGGGACGTTTATGCTTTAAAATATGTGCGTTACATCCAAACAGCAGTCATTTTTCAAATATGTAATCAATTAAAAGCTGAGCCCAAAATGTATATCCAAAAAGTTCAAGGAAGTCCAAATCAGTTGTTGGGTCCCAATAGTACTGTCCATTTCTAGAATGTTGTTGAGACTCAGCACTCCATCCCAATTGGGAATTGGAAATCTTGTCCCAATGCTTTTTGCAAAGGGTTCTCAGGTGGTGGTGTTAGGTTGAGGTGGTCCTCCAGCATTTTCTGTATCCATCTGGTCCTCACATAATTTTCTTCTTGCTTTTTTCTCTGTACAGCCATGTTCTCTGCCTCTGTTCCAAATGAATGAAAATAATGCATGTAAGTTATGGGTCATAATTGTAAATGTTGTATAACAAGCCTTCAGTGTTACTTGTAGCATGAGCCAACCCAGCTGCAGCATTGAGTAACTCTTGCCCCTTTTTCTGCATTTTTTTCACCCTAGTTCAAAGAATTCCTGTTGGAATACATGTATATTTCACTTTAATAAATTATACATCATTTCCAAAAGTACATGAAGCATTCAATTAGGAAGATTATGAATTATATTGAAAATATTCACAAACCTGCTGGGTCACATTTGTCAATGTCCTCATGAAGCATTGCTGGAGAAGTGAATATTGCAAAGTTACTTCAGAGATTTTGCAATACTGCATCAACTGCTGGTCCTTGATTATTGGGTGAATCATATCTTGAATCTTCCACTAGTTCTTTTTGCATAATCTCATATGACACATGCTGGTTATTAGAAAGACCAGGTGAGGGGCATTTGTAAGCTCTTGGTTTCAAGGTAGTTGCCAGGAAACTCCTCACTACTTTGGAAGTGTTCATGAGCAGAACTGTCCTCCACAAAGGGATCACTGTTGACCAATTATTCTTGATGAGTTTCCTGCCATTCCTCCTCTCCTGTGTTGTAGGTGGTGCTTCTCAAATGTGAAGCAAGCCCATCACTTAGAATTGTATTTGTTGATGATGATGACAAAATATCAAGTAAATCTTGTGGACTCCTTGGGGGAATCTCTTGCACCCCCATGCCTGATGCACTTGGTGGGATGTTTGTTGGTAGACAAACTGTACCAGTAGCGCTTAATATGTCATGCAGTCTTACAATTGGTCTCACATCCTGATTGGATGAGTGCTGCATGTGATGTGTTGGATGTTGTGGTGCTGGTTCTATGAAATCCAGGGCCCAATTCCTGTAGTTTCCAGAAAGTACTGGTGCAGCACTTGATTGAGTCAAAGTACTGGCACCATCATGGAAGTTCCTTGTCCTCCCTGGCATTAGTTGTTTCCTGGGCCTCTTTTGCAGTGATGGCAATTTGTTCATCATCATATTCATCTGGTCCATTGTGAGTTGTATTTGAGGCCTCAAGTAGTCAGTGATCCTGGAAGAGGGAAGTACTTATTAAATGCTATCCAACAGGAAAACTATTTGTAACAAAAAAATGTCCCTATAACATCCTTTATGTGTGTAGCAGTAACTAAAGAAGTGTATCAGGTAATATTAATTTTATTTTAAAAGTTTATATTACATGTTTGAACTCACATTCTTTTCTGTTCCTCCAGTTTGGAACTGTCCATGTCACTTGCTATGAATGCGCTGTAATTTGTTGGTCCGCTCTCCTTGAAGGCTGCTCTATTTTGCCTCTCAATGAATTGATCTGTTCATAATAAATACAAATGCATAAATGAATTGAATGATAAGTACTAATTAAATTTT